TGACCACGACTCCCCTTCCCCAAACCCCTCCATACCTCTCCAGTGCCCTCGGGATGAGGCCGCCCTGGGAGTCACTCCAGGACTCAGCCCAGCTCCTCCCCCTTCCCTGCCTTACTCCAGGCACAAGAGCCAGAAGCTGCTGTCCCCATGCCCCAGCGCCAGGCCTGGGCAGGCTCTTGCTTCTGCCTGTCCTGCCCTGCCTGGCTCCAGTGCCCCGTGGTCCCTTCTGTGACTGAGGCACAGGGTGTGGTAGAGCTAGGAGCTCAGTCCAGGGCCCTTGGCAGGAGGCTCTGCGACAGCCCGTCTCAGGAGCGGCAGACCCGAGGGGCTTACGCCTACAACTAACCACTTCCTCGCCTGTGGCTGGGTCAAGGGACCGCCTTCCCTTGCCTCAGTTTCCTCATTTGTGGAAAGGAGATAACCCACATCATCTCCCTTCCTGTGAAGTATCCAGAAGAGAGCCCGCCAGAGAGTGTCACAGAGTAACAGGGCAGCCCCGGCCACATCACCCCTGCAAGTGGCGCTATCCTGGTTGCCATTTTATAGGAACAGTCTGAGAGGTAGAGAAACTGCCCAAGGACCCAGGCAGGACACGGCGGGGCTAGAGGGAGCCCAGGAGCTCAGTGAAGGGGGACCTGGGCTGAGATGCTGAGGGAGGTCCTGCCACCCGCCTGCCGCAGGATGGCCACGCAGGCTCTGGTCCCTGGAGGTACCTGGGAACATGAATCAAGGACACCTTCTTCCTCTGACCATTCCTCACGTTTCCGTTCTCATTTCTGTCGCTTCCTCTCCTGACCTTCCAGCTGCAGCTGGGCTGGTGGCCTGACCACTCACTCTGCCTGTGCCATCTGGGACTTCCACCAGGTGGGGACACATCTCTGAGCCTTATAAAGGCAGAGACCAGGGCCACCTCCATTACTCCTGTGTCCCCAGAACTGTGTAGCTCTGGGCCAGCACAGAGGCCGGGTCTGAGGGTGAACGGAGGGCCCTCTGGCAGCCGAGGAAACCGAGGCTCAGAGAGGGCTGCCACTGAGCACCTGACCTGCTCTAAACAGGTCCGGACAGGGTGTGGGACAGCCTCGCTGGACGAGCGGGTGGGTGAGCGGCATGAAGGGACAGCAGGAAGGGAGGACGGACGTCAGGAAACCAGAAAGGGGGGGGGCAAGGGGGAGAGGGGACGATAGGTGGGGAGAGGGGCTGGGGGGAGGGGGACGAGGTGCCACTGGAGCCCCAGGGCCCGAGGGCCGAGCAGCCCCTGCCTCCTCTCCACCTGCGTGGACGTCGGGTCCTGCCCTGGGCCCGGCAGCCACCGCCTGCCCGCTACCTGGGGATGGAGGCGTAGTCGGGGCGGGTGCCAGCGGAGAGGTGCTGGTGCAGCTCGGGCGGGGCGCCCAGGATGTCCACCCGATCGTCCCTGTCGTCGCCGAGGCTGGCGGGGCACGGGCTGGGCAGCAGGATGAGCTCCGTGAGGCCGTGGAGGTCGGACACGTGGCGGAAGGTCTGCAGCACCAGCACCATGGCCACCAGGCCCAGGAAGAGGTAGGCTGCGGACACGGGGAGGGTCGGCCTGGCGCGGCCCACGGCTGTCCCCCGCAGCCCTCCCGCCACCCGCCCGCCCTGGGCGCCAGCCAGGCCCAGCTCACCTGTGACCAGCACCTTGTAGAGGGCCCGGTGGGGCTGGCCGGGGGCCTCGCCGGGGACATAGTCTCCCAGGCCGATGGTGGACAGAGAGATGAAGCAGAAGTAGAAGGCGTCCAGGAAGCTCCAGGCCTCCTCCAGGTGGGCGAAGACCGCGGCCGGCACCAGAAAGCAGACGGTCACGATGATGCCCAGCAGGGCCACCAGGTGCCAGCGCGCGGCCCGTCGCGGGTCCCAGCCCCAGCGCCAGCTCAGCCAGGACAGGGGCGCGTGGGTCAGCAGCAGCGACAGGCGCTGGGCCGAGGCGGTGAGCAGCAGCATGGTGGTCGGCACGCCCAGGAGCGCGAAGGCGATGGAGAAGGCCTTGCCCGCGTCCGTCAGCGGCGTCGTGTAGCCGTAGCCTGCGGGGAGGGGGCTGCTGTCCACCCAGCGCTCCACGGAGCTGGCCCAGGTGGCGGGGGACACCAGAACCAGAGCTGACTGCAGCCCAACCCGCCCCCCTGCAGGGCCTCCTGTCCCCAGAGTGGCCGCCACCCCCCACTCAAGCCTAGAGCCGGGGTTGCTTGCAAACTCAGGCGAGGCCGGAGGAAAGCCTCGCCTGACTCGCCACATTTGCTTTCAGTTACTTGCTTTTAAGGATAAAATCGCTGATTTGAGCTGGGTACGTGGCACACACCTGAATTCCCACGACTGGGGAGGCTGAGGCAGGAGAACCACAAGTTCAAAGCCAGCCTCAGCAACTGAGTGAGGCCCTAAGCAACTTAGCCACCACCCCCTCAAAATAAAAAATAAAAAGGTCTGGGGTGTGGCTCAGCAGATACCAAAATAAATAAAAAAATACAAAGGGCTGGGACATAGCTCAGTGGTACCCTGGATTCAGTCTCCAGTACCTCCCCACCACTGACTTGGGGACTGGGGTGCAGCTTAGGGATAGAGTCCCTGCTGGTATGTGCAAGGCCCCAAGTTTCGTCACCAGCACTGAAAAGTATATACATATCACTAACTTTAGAGGTCACACAGCTAAGTGATCATTATTAGTCTCCCGCTAGCTCTGCTGAGAGGACACCTCTGCTGTGTGGGTCTTGATGCTCACGGTTGCCCAGGTAACTTCTGTGGGACTTGGAGGCCGCTTTGGCTAAAACCCTGACTCTTGCCTTGGGCCCATGCAGGTGACCTCTTTGATGTCGAGGGGCAAACTTCCCCTTCAGGTCATGCTAATGCTTCCATTTTCCGAACATATGTCCCATAAAGAGCCAGGAAGACTGATGAGTCCCACGCAGACCACTAATGGCTTCACCTCCAGTCACCTTTTTCCACTCCTCATGTCACCCTGCTTCCTTCTCCCATGAATGTCCCCGACCCTCTCCTCTGGGAAGCATTCACATTAAAGCTGAGGCACTTTGCACACCAGTCCCCGTCGGTAACTCTCTTCCAAACTCCTCACCTCAGTGACAAGCCAGCTGCACTCTCACCCAGGACTTCAGGAACCGCACATTCCATGTGTCAGCGTGGCCTGTCACCTCAGCCTTCAGACAGACCCACAGCCACCCACTTCTCCCCCTAACGTAGTCTCATGGCCCTGCCCTTGTCCCACCGACCACAGCAGCCTCCCCCAGACCTCCCTTTTCCTCTAAGCAGGCCCCAGTCTGTCCAGCTCACTCAGACTCAAGGACAAAGGCTTCACCCAACCCAAAGGGGCAATATGCTCCTACCTCAGGGCCTTTGCACAGGGCCAAAGCTCTTTCCATACATCCCCGGATTCCCCTCTCCAGTCCTTCAGACCTTTATCCCATGTCACCCTCTCAGTGATGCCTCCTCTGACCACTGTCTTCGAGGTTGTAACACCCCTAACTCCTGCCTTCCCGCAGCCCCGTTTCCCCATTTGGTTACTGCCTCCCGAGGGCATCAGTTCCAGGAGGGCAGCGGACTCCGTTCTGTCCCTGCTGTGCGCATGATCACGTGGGTACTTAATGAAGGATGCAGGCTTCTGCCTGGCCTCAGTTTCCCCTACTCTTAAAAGGGTGTGACAAGCCCCAGTGGACTCCTGGAGGGCTATGGGAACCCAGCAAGGCCCGCGGGGACATGAGTTCTGCAAGCAGAAATATGTCACAGAGGACCTCAGGTGTGGGGCCACTGACTAGGAGTAACAAAGAGCAATTTTAAATCTCTTTATATTTCCCTAATAAACAAACCAAAGCGTCAGATCTATGACTGGGTGACGAGGACCCAGTTACGCCACAGTTAAAAGGCTGCAGACCCAGCACTGCGATGCATAATGCAGTGTGGACACCTGCACCAGCCGGTGTTCACTGAGCCTGCTTCCCAAACAAAGGGATCCCAGGTGTTTTATTTTTCCTTTGTATTTTTTTGTTTGCTTAGTTGGTTGATTTTTTGCAGCGCTGGGGATGGAACCCAGGCCTCAGGGCTGCTAGGCAAGTGCTGTGAGCTACACCCAGTGCTGATCCCATTATATATATATATTTCAAAGAACCAAAAGCAAGCTCTAGAAGACAGAACTGCTCACAATAGTTAGAATGAGGAAGTAACTAAAGTTCCCATCCACAGATTAATGGACCAGCACAATGCAGCACAGGCTGATAAAAGAAGAAATTGAAAAGAAGAAATTCTGATACGTGCTGTAACGTGGATTATCTCTGAGAACTGCTGAGTGACCAGTCACTAGAAGGTAAGTTCTGTATGACTCCCCTCAGTAAGGCAGGTAGGCGGTCAGATTCAGAGAAAGTAGAATGGTGATTGCCAGGGCTCAGAGGGAGAGGCCATCAGGGGATTATTGTTCCAGGAAGGCAGAGTGTCTGGGTTTTGTTTTGTTTTTTTACTCCTTTGGCACTGAGAATTGAACCCAGGGGCATGTTACCAGAGAGCCATATCCCCAGCCCTTTTTTATTTTGAGACAGGGTGTCATTAAATTGCTGAGGCTGGCCTCCAACTTGTAACCTTCCTGCCTCAGCCTCCCGAGCCACTAGGATTGTAGGCGTCAGAGTTTCCCTTTTGCAAGATGAAAACAGTCCTGGAAGTAGATGATGGGGAGGGGTACACAACAGTGAATGTGATCAGCGACATTGAACTACATACTTCAAAATGGTGAAGATGAGCCTGGGGCTGGGGCTCAATGGCAGAGCGCTGGCCTAGCATGTGCCCTCGCACTGGTTCGAGCCTCGGCACCACATAAAAAATAAATTAATCAACAGAGATATTGTGTGTCCCTCTACGACTAAGAAATATTTCTAAAAATGGTGAAGATAGGGCTGGGGATGTGGCTCAAGCAGTAGCGCGCTCGCCTGGCATGCGTGTGGCCCGGGTTTGATCCTCAGCACCACATACCAACAAAGATGTTGTGTCCGCCGAGAACTAAAAAAATATTTAAAAATTCTCTCTCTTTAAAAAAAATGGTGAAGATAGTACATTTTATGTTATAACTATTTTATCACTAAAATTGAAAAAAGGAAAAAGGATGTCAGGTGTGGCGGTGCGCACCTGTAACCCCAGCTACTCAGGAGGCCGAGGCAGGAGGATCCCAAGCTCAAGGTCAGCTGCTGGGATTACAGGCAGGGCCCTGAGTCTGGCAGATGCCTTCAGCCACCTAGAATAAGGACATTCCTCCTCCTTTGCAGCCAGATGTGACTCTGTGACTAATTTCTGGACAATGAATTATCATGAAAGAATCCAGGTCCTTCTCTCTGAGAGGATCCACTCTTTCCCTTGAGAGTGTTCCGTTTTCCCCTTTTCTGTCTCCTCTAATAACCTCATGCTGTTACTCAAGAGAGAAAGAAAGAATGAATGAATGAATTCAGGGACTTCCAGGAAGGGTCATGAAGGAGAGGGGTGATCCCCATATTGTCCCTTTTCTTTCCTGTTCTGTTGACTGGAACACAGACATGAAGGCTGGAGTGCAGCAGTCGTTTTGGACTGTAGAGAGACCTGGGAAACAAACTGTCCAGAGCAGATACAGGGGAGCAGGGTTTTGCTGAGGAGTATGGGTCTCTGACCCCCAGCACCTCTCTGGTCTTGGACTGACCACCTCAAATGTGAGCAAGGAGTCAACATCCATCTTATTTAAGCAACTGTGATTGGGAGCCTCTCCTTCATGACTCTAACCTCAGGAGCACAGGTTCTAGTTGGGTGTGGTGGTGCAACCCGCAGCCCCAGTCACTGGAGGCTGAGGCAGGAGGACCCTGAGCCCAGCAGTTCGCACAGCCTGGGTAATAGAGCAAGATCAATAAATAAAAAATAAAACAAGGCTTTGTGTTCTGTGTGTGTTCCTGGGGATTGAAAGCAGGGTGCTCGACCACCGAGCCACACCCCAACCCTTTTTATTTTTTGGACAAGTTTTCCTTCAATGGCCCAGGCTGGCCTTGAACTTGGAATCACCCTGCCGCAGGCAGCCCCCCAAGTAGCCGGGATTACAGGCCTGCGCCACCACACCCAGCAAAATGAGGGTTTGGTGGAGAACCTCCGCTGACCCAGCTGACACAACCGGTTTGCAAGCCACAGGACATCCTCATAAACAAGAGAACCAGAGTTGGGATGGAATGGGGCTGGCGGGCCTCCACTTACTGCTTCAAAGAGCTGAGTCCGAAACAAGTGTTTTCCATTTTTTTCCTGCATGACCTTGGCTAAGTGACGCCTCCTTTCTGAGCCTCTGTTTTCTAACCAGCAAAAAAAAAAAAAAAAAAAAAAAAAAAAAAAAAAAAAAAGAAAGAAAGAAAAGAAAAAGGGCTCAATAAATAATTCCCTCCTCAAATGTGGTAGTGATCCTACAGGCAGGGGGGCGCTTAGCACCCAGCGCAAGTGTGGAGAGGGTCGTGGCGATGTGGTACTACAATCCGTGTGTGTGCGTGTGCGTGGGTGTGTGCGTGTGTGTTCGGGGGTGGATCAGGGCCTCATGCACACGAGGCACCTGCTTTACCTTGGAGCTCCGCCCGCAGCCAGCTACGGTGACCACAAGCCTGACTTCCTTTTCCCTGGGCCCACTTCCCTATCCCCGCTGCCCACACCTGGCCTCAACTTCTCACTAGGTCTTAGGATTTGGGCCTGTGACAAAATGAGGGACACTGAGAAACAGGTCTCTTGGAAGGACATCCAGTCTGTATTCCAAGGCTCCCGGTACATGCGGGGTTCCTGGCCCCACCCAGAACCCTCCAGGTGACTGAGGCTCTGTCAACACGAGCTGCACCAGCTCACCCTGGCAGGGACGCCTCCTTGACCAAACTCCAGCTTTCTCTGAGCGCTGTTTATCTTCAAGACTCCTAAGAATCCCCACCCTGGATATTGCATCAAATTCCTCATCTCCCCCCACTTTTTTTTTGTACTGGGAATGGAACCCAGGAGAAGTGCTTTGCCACTAAGCTACACCCCTAATGTTTAAAATTTGTTTGAGAGAATTTTAATATTTATTTATTTTTTAGTTTTCGGCGGACACAACATCTTTGTATGTGGTGCTGAGGATCGAACCCGGGCCGCATGCATGCCAGGTGAGCGCGCTACCGCTTGAGCCACATCCCCAGCCCCCTAATGTTTAAATTTTTAAAACATTTGCAACAGGGTCTCACTAAGTTACTTAGGGCCTCACTGAATTGCTGAGGCTGGCCTTCAGCTTTCCATCCTCCTTCCTCAGCCTCCTGAGTAGCCAGGATTATAGGTGTCACCGCACCCAGCCTCATCTCCCCCTCCCTCCTTTTTCACCCCCTCCCACTCTTTTGAAACAGGTCTCGCCATGTTGCCCCAACTGGCCTGGAACTCATGATCCTTCTGCCTGAGGTGCCTGAGGAGTTGGGACCACAGGTGTGAGCACCACGTGTGGCTGACTGGCCTGGGTTTGGGAGGTAGAGTGCTGTCGGGTATGTGCAAGGCCCTGGGCTCCATCCCCAACGCCAGAGAAAAGAAACTGTCCAGCCCAGTGGAGGAAGCCTCCTGCCCTGTCCCTCCCACCCTGACCCCTCGCTCCACTGCCTTCACGGCTGAGTTCCTCTAGGAAACGCACACTGGCCCTTTTCAAGCCACACAGTGTTGAAACAGAGCCATCGAATGGCGACTTCCCTGTTCCTAAAGGCACGTCAGGCTGTTTTTCAGAACTGGCACAGGACTCTGGGATCTGACCTAAGATGGCCTCAGCAGCCTGGAGGAACCCAGGCTCTGAGGAGCAGAACCAGAGAACAGGCCCCCAGCCCTGGACTAGACCAGCGAGGGCCACTGTCCACAGAGGCAGAATAGACCAGAATCATCCCCAAGTTCCCCTGTACCAGCCGACTGTCAAACCCCGTCCCCAGCCACTCAGGCTCCTCCCCTACTGGCCAGTCCAGTCTGGGAAATGGACTTGAATGCGCCTCCCGCCTCCTTGCCCTTGGCCTTCAATAAAGCTCTTTCTTTTTGTGAAAACCCTGGCTTCTATGTACGTCGGGCAGCAAGACCTTGCTCAGTAGCAGAGTGGTATGTTGGGTAAGAGCACTGGATTCTGGAGACTTGGTTCAAATCTCTACACCTTTCCAGCTGTGTGACCTTGGGCTAATGGACACACACTCTCTCTCACATTCTCTCTCTCCAGGCATTACTCTTTTTTTCACCAATGGGGACTGAACTCAGGGGTGCTCTACGACTGAGCCACATGCCCAGCTTTTGTTTTAAATTGCTGAGGCTGACCTCGAACTTGGGATCCTTCTGCCTCAGCCTCCTGAGTCACTGCAATCAGAGGTGTGGGCCACCGCACCCAGCTTTATTACCCCATTTTACAGATGAGGGAGGACACAGAGCAGCAGCGGAGCAGGGATGCCAAGCCAGGCGGCGTCTGCCTGGTGTCTGGCCTCCCTCACCTGCTCCTCCTCCAGGGAGGATGATGCAGAAACCAGGATCTACGAGGAGACAGCAAGGCGCTGACCCAGGGAAGGTCAGAGGCTGATCAGGCCGGCCCTGGCAGGCCCTGCAGTGTCGGGGAGAGCACGCCCCAGGCAAGGCGGCTAAGTCTAGTCTGGGAGGAAATCACCCCGCTTTGCCGCCAGTGGCCTCTGTTGGCTGATCCATAGGATAGGGCACCAAGAGGGACAGATGCCACCCCTTACTGCTGCACTACCAGCTGGAGGCCGTCAGGATTCTGAAACACCCTTCTCCACGTTCCCAAAGGGGCAGCTGGTGGCTGGGGAGGGGCTGGGGAGCAGCAGAGCGTGATGGCAGAGGGACTTCCCAGGTCTGTGAGGGGACAAGGGATTTCCCCGCGGCCAGGGTTCTCAAGGGTTGGGGGTGGGGTAGATCCCAGGGTCCCACTTGAATGAGGGCTCAGAGCAGGGAGTCTAGGGGCCAGTCTTAAATCAAGGGCCAGTGTCCTTGTTTGAAATGAATCCTGGGGTCCTGGGTCAAAGGGCCAGCAGCAGCTGGTGACGTCTGGCAGAGAAGTCCTCAGGCAGAGGGCTGTGAAGCCCAGGGTACCCGAGGGCAGGTGGTAAGGGAGACGCTGCTAAGGGATAGGGCAGTGTCCCAGGCCCTTGCTGACCGTCCAGGGTAGACAGTGGTGCTGGGGAAGGTCCTGTGCAGAGGCCTGGCGCAGCCTTCATGGAGAGAATTTCAGAGACAACACAGGCTGGGGCAGTTGGGTGGAAGGGACGTCCCAGCTGTGAGTCTGGAAAAGGTCAGAGGGCTCCCAAGTCCCCAGGAGATCCCCTTGTTTGGGAAATCCACAGAGGGCAGGGGACTTCAGCGCCAAGAAAGACGCGGGAGAGGCCATCTGGGCTGGCATCTTGTGAGGCCAGGAGGCAGATTCTGCTGTCCACAACAGTATGAGGGGCACTAGCGTCCCCACAGGAGGTCCTGGTGGTTCTGGGGCTCTCACTGAGGGGTTTCAGGGTGGGGGGGGGAGTCTCAGTTCATGGTTTAAAGAGGACTTCGTGGAGAGTCCTGGGGTTTCAAAGGGCTAGAAGTCTGCTGGAGGTGGTTAGGGGACAGAGCGGTAGGAGTCTGGGAATGGGCTTCTGGTTGGACAGTCTGTGGGCCTCCCTCCATGGGGGGTCCCTTTCACACACCCTCAGTTGTTGGGGCTACTAAATTGGAGTCACAGGTCCAGAAGGAACAGAGAGTGTCCCAGCTGAGGAAGAAACCCTGCAATGCTGGGGGCGTTGTCAGGATGGCTGTGGGAGGTCCTGTCCTGGAGCGGGGGAGTATGAGGCCATAGGCATGGCAGCTGTCCTATCTGGGACCCATGCAGAGAGTGATGGAGAGCCAGAGGGTTGGGAGTCCCAGAGCAGCCACAGGTTCCTGCCAAGTGTCTCCCTGGAAGGCAGGCCTTTGGTGATGGTGTGGGGCGGCAGGGTCCTGGCTGGGGTCAGGAGGAAGTGGGTGTAGGGACAGTCAGTGGGTGTAGGGACAGTCGGGAGACAAGGTTGGAAGCAATGGCTGTAGCAGCCCAGAGATAGGTACTAGCCTGAAGGAGGCTCCCAGCCAGAGGGGACAGGATCTCAGGTGGAGGCTTCCAGGTCCTCCTTGGTCTCAGGAGAGACCCAAATCCTCACCCGGGTTAAGACCGGGCGGTGAGGTCTGGGGTGGTGAGGTCCCGGACGCTTGCTTCCCGACAGAATTGGGGGTGGGGTTCCCGCTTACGAGGAAAGGCCTGGCTGAGGGTCCCCCAGGGGGTCACGCCCGGGGGCCTGGACGGGTGGGCGTGGGTTGAGGGGCTCCAAGGCCCGGGAGGGAGGGGCGTTTTGAAGGACCCGCGGGTCCAAAGGGCCAGGACCAGGTGGGGTCCTGGCGCTGGCTGGCCGGCGGGGCGCGCTCACGTACGTACCCACGGTGGTGACCAGCGTGCTGGCGAAGAAGAGCGCCGAGGCGAAGTCCCAGGCGGGGACCGAGGCGTTGGCTGGCTCCGACGCATTGGCCAGCG